GGAGTATGGACTCAAGGACAAACTACTAAGCGGCATTGGGAGCCTGTGAGCTTAATAACACACATCCTTTAAGAACGGCGAAATTGATCCTTTGAAATACTGAACAATATTCAATAACAGAAAAATTCTTAACTTTACGTAACAAGAATGTTTTTGAAGAAGTAAATTAAATATTCACATGAAGTGATGCCTATTTTTGTTTTGTGTACATCCCATCATAGATTTCTTAATTAATAAATAGCTCTTATTGATTTAATATACATTGAAAATTTTTATTAAGGGATTTTATTTTATTTTGGAGAGGGTATTGCAATTGCTGAAACTTTACCAATAGATATGTAGTTATTTCCAGCGGTATGAAAGTCGAAACGGGTCGGATCGGGCGACTATATCGGATAGCTCCCCTACGAGAGAATGGGAAAAAAAATTCCCAGGCCTTTATTTTTATCATATCGACTTGATATCTTCCAGATGGTGTTTTCTATCTACTATCGAACTTCATATCTGCCATAGGAAAGATCGAAATATATATATAAATAATGGTAAAAAAATTATCACGTCTTTGTTTTCATTCCACGAATATACTTTTAAGAGCACGTATTTTTTAACTACCCTTGATCCGAGAAAAAAATTTCAAAAAAATCGGAAAGATATGTATTGTATATCATATAGCTGAAATAATAAAATTACAACATCGTTTTTTAGCAGACAAGCATCATTTTTGGTATATAGAGTTTTCTATTAATTATTGAATCTTGAATAAAATTTCCTAAAAATCGGACTACTATATCATATAGCTATCAAATGAACAATCGTGAAAAATAAAGAAACTTATAAGAAAAATCGACATAGCCTCGATGTTGTTTAGCCATTTTGTATTTGGTTCGACATACGTATTTGATGACTGCAAGGGTATATAAGCTTAGGCTTGCCGAAGCTAGCTTCCTTTCTTGTTTTACTGTTTGATTTGTCGGGCTAACCATCGAGTTAAAACGCTACAAAATTCAGTCACTTTGCATCCATAGACATGTTAAGTGCTTCTCAGCAAATACAATATGCCCTTTTACTCGAAGAGTACATAAGTAATGATTTATTCGTATGATCACTTAATTTTTTGAGGGGAGTTATCTATTCATTATCGGGCAGGACGTTAACACCTTACCTCCCTTCTGAGCCCCTGTTCCAGCTCCCCTGGCATGCACATGTACATACATACTCTAGATCCATTTGGTTTCGGGCAACCCATAATGAGCAATCCATCTGCAGCAACACCCGCACGTAGTTTGGTGAAACTTCCTTGATTTACATGACCCCCTTCCCCCTGCATCCAGAACTGCTGCTTCTGGTCCGGGGCCTTGTCCTTTTTCCTGTTTTCCAGGTCCTGGCATGTGTGAGTCTCCGCTCGGCGGCTGACTTAATAAATTGTTTGCCATTAATAACAATAAAAATAGATAATCTCCGTATAACAAATTAATGACGTGCGCTGGCAGACAGAGAAAGCATGATATGACAACCACTGGGGAGAAGGAGAGGGAATGCCGTTCGAGGGTGGAAAAATATGAGAAATTTTGACTTCACTTGCTACGATACACTTTCCTACACGATAAGGAACAACATCTGCAGACTTTAAGTTAGGTATTATGTGCAAGAATAATACCAAGCGATAAGAAGACAAAAGTAAACCCTTCGGATTAAAGTGCAGAAAGCGTAACTTCGTAACGCCTGTTACTTTTATAAACGTCGAACTTGTCGAAACCGTTAAAAAATTTAACACTGAGAGGTTATTTTTCCTTCGTGGAAGCACCATTATCATTTACTTTTGTTATGGAGCTAAAACAACGCTCAAGTATTTAACAATAAACAAACAAATAGCTTCGGCTTCAAACGAACGTTGGCAAACGCACTCGAGGGGCAAAAAACGGCTAGGAGAGGAATCAAATGGTCCAGGGGCTCAATTTGTTGATTCTTTCCGGCCAACCGAAACCTCTGGCTTGCAGACCAGTGTTTCAGCGGTGGTTGCTCGTAGAAACCTGATGCCGAGTCATAACCCGCGGACAGGACTCCGAGGACCGAAGCTGAGCAGAGTTTTCCGCAGGGGACGGGCCACTTGTCGCAGCGGGCGAAGGACGAAGGACGAGCAAAGAAGGGGGGAGGAACACAGGACGCAAGCCGCAGGACTTCCCCTGGGAGTCATGTAGTTGAGTACGGATTTGAAGTAAATTAAAAGTCACTCACACCTTAGTTCATTATTATGATATTTGGTGTCAGCGCCCCGTGTTGGTCCAACCCCTCGAAGCCGCTCTCCAGGGCGTGGCGGAAAAGACGGAGCTCCGAAACCCAATTATAACAATATGCCCTGATTTCCCCCTGGCCAGGCGGAGGTTTTCAATTTGTGGCCTACCTGCTACCTACGGCCGGACAAAGGGCCCATCGTAAATTAAACCAATAACCATAACTATGAACTAATAAGCCGAGGTGCTCGGCGCGAAGAGGCTTTAACACGGCCCGAAACAAAGAAAGTGGAGCAACTGCCGGCCGAGAAATGCTGCTAATCATCGCACAATGAAATAAATTACATACATTGTTTGGGCGAACGAGAGTCCGGATTCTGGCAGTTGAGCCCGCCGGAATGCCCGCTGTGAAAATTGAAAAGCGTTTGAAAGGCAAATAGAAATCGAACGGGGCAGGGCGCAAAGATTAACACCAAAACAGCCGAGTACCCGACTCATGTTGCACGTTTGCTTAGAGTGTGAATAAATTAAGGCATCAAAAATCATAATACAAACGATCGGGCCACGATAAACACTTTGATTAGCGTTCCCCTGGCCCACGGGTCGGGGTTCTGGCTTCGAGCTCCCGCTGCGAAATTGAAATGGAAGCAACTCCCGAGACCAGGTCGATAAGTCGGGAGAGCGGCAAACACCAAAATACCCATAATTATGACAATCATCTCTGGTATCCACCGATTCCAAGTCCAGTTCGAAGTCCGAGTCAGAGTCGAAGTCCCAGGTCTCAGATCTTGGGTCTCAGGTCTCAGGGCTCGGGATTCCGGGCCGCTCGCTGTTTGGCCGCTTTATGGCGGAGCGCTTATCCCCATTGTTGGCCCTATTGTGAGGCCTCTTATTGCTGGCTTAAGAATCTGTTACAGAAAACTTAAAAGCGTCGCTTTAATAACTTTATTGATTTCGATTAAGCGCAATAACGTATGATGGTCGTCATTACCACCGCCACCACGGATCTCTACTTCGAGTTGCAATGGGTGTTTCGGTTCTGTGGAGCGCAGGTGTTCCCACTTCGTTTGGCTACCAAATCAAAAGCGAAACATAAAATGTTAAAAATTTACCTTAAGTTCACTTGAAATCGTGTTTTACCAAATGCCAAAAATTAAGAAGGTGCTTAAGTGAGTTGCACTCTTTATATTATATCATAGGTAGTCCTGAAATGCTCTTTAGACCTGTCAAGCATCTTTGTTAGTAAGGATCCTTTTAGGCCAATCTTTTACGTGTAAGGTGTCTATCATAAAACAGCCATCTGCTAAGCTCCTTGTAGCGCACAACTGAGTCTCGTATACCGAACCCATGTCCGAGCGGCGATTGGCCCAAAATAAACAATCGGACAATGAACAATAAGCTTAACGAAAATATTTTCAGCTCAATAAAAAACTCATTTACAACAAAGCGCGGGCCGCAGCGAAATGGTGAGACTGGCAGGCACTATCTTCTGGTCGGGTTTATGGAGCTGGGAATGGGCCGACTATTTGTATGTTCGTGGTATGGTACATACGCACAAATAAACCTAATGAAAAACGTGTGAAGAATGCCCAAGAGCGGCCAGTTTGATTTGCATCGAAAAGTAATTGGGAAATAGAAGAAAGAAATGGAAGAGGAGTTATAAACGCTCCACGGGGGCAGGCGTACCAAGACCAGGGGGGACACAAGAAATCAAGATGAAGACGTGGAAAACCCTCGAAATCATGCACAATTATTGAAATCCATAAACGTAATAATCATATCAACAGGCAACAATAACAACCAGGCTAAGCCATTAACAGCCTGCCACAAGCACGTGTGAGGGGAGGGGGAAAGGGGGGGGTCGGGAATTGGTGATCGAGGCGAAAGCGCGAACACTACAAAATTAATAAGCAACAAATGAAATGGACCCACCCCCCACCCCTTCGCACCCTCCTTACCTACTCCCCCGCTGGGAAGAAGCTGAATCGGGTAATCGGTTTTGGCGTTCGCAAAAAATTGACCGACACCCGAATGCAAATTCAATTGACACTTGGCTGCCCTTCGACTTTGGAACAGGTTTTCCGTTGCTCCTCTTTCCCTGCGGTTCCCGGAAACTTGGCCCCCGTGGGGCTTCCTGATCTTAAGGGCCCGACGCCCCTGCTCAACCGCAATTGGGTAATAAAGCGACCGAGTTGCAGCTTGATTAATGAGGTTAACTCAAAAACTGGTTCCGAGTTCAAAAACATTGGATTCTTGGGCTGCTTTCTTGGTAACTTGGTTAATGTAATGATTGAATGGGAAAAAGGTAATTATGAACTTGAAAATTAAAGTGAATAAAAAGTGACAAGAAACCAAATGATAATTTATCCATATCCATATTAATGCAGGGGACTTTCACCAAACCATTTTATTGCAAATTTATGAACCACAAATTCGTTGCTATAAAACGTTGCAAATGTTATTTAACCATGGAAAAGTGCCGACGGGAAAATGTAGCCTTGTTCGTCCAAAGTTACACCGCAAACAACACAATCGAAATGCTTTCAGACCTTCAGAACCCTGAATCCGTTATTTGAACGGCCAAGCTTATTAGCTTCTAGTCCGAGCCTTTGGATAGCTCCTTTTCAGCCATTGGGACAATCGCAAACATTTGCTCGCCGCTCCGCAAGGATAACGCTTCTCAAACATCAGACTTAAGTGTGTTTTTGATGCCATTTAAATTGCCGTTTATTGAATTTTGCCATTTGGCTTGGCTGCTTTTCATTGGGATTGGGGGGCCTGCGCATTCGTTTTATTTATTGTGCTTAAGCTCGCCTCGAAATCAAAAGGGGAAATAATAATCGTAATTTGTTGTTTATGTGGTTTTTCTCTCTTTACAGATTCGCATTTATTCTTGTTTGACAATCAGTTTCAGATACAATATAATTTTTAGCAGCCGTTTTGCCGTTCTTTGCATGTCTATACGTAATATTGTGTGGGGTTTCTTATATTTGTAATATACTAGCCTGCCTTTTGCCACAAAAAAAAAATTCCGCTTACTTAACTTGTTGATTTCTATGCAATTCTTTGTGTTTTTCTTCGTCTTCGTCTTCGTCCTGTTCTTTGTCTTTCTTTTTCTTTTTCGTTTTCGTTATCGTTTTGTTTCGCTAAATTAAATTACATTTTTACACAGTCTCACGCAAACACACACACACACACACACACACTGCACTCTCACAAACGCACTGTTTGAAAAAAAAATGTCCTTAGTTGATAAAGTATTACGTAGTTATATTATATTATTTATGTTTCAAGCATTGCTATATTCGCATTGTCTATATAATACGAAGTAAAAATAATAAATTCATTTACAACACTAATTAAGTCTCTCCCTCGAAACGGGGTCTACACCAAAACAAAAAAGGGAACATTACAAATATATTCGAATAAATAAATCACTTAGGAAGTATTCAAGCTCTGAACCGAGGAAACGAAGCTGGAGAGGATTGAGCACAGTGTCCTAGGGTCCTCACTGGGATGCCTCACGTGTTGTTGAACAGCAGTGACTCGATGCTGAAGGGGTTGCTCCGGCGCATACTGATGGGGGATGTCTGGTGGACCAGGTTGGCCACCGCCGCCGCCGCCGCCGAGGCGGAAGCGCCGCCGGAGTGGTGGAGGTTGTGCTGCTGCGGGTGGAGGTGGTGGCCCTGCCCCTGACCCTGACCCTGACCCACCACCAGCCCGTGGTGCGGCTGGCCGCTCTGCAGGTTCAGCTGGTGGAAGGCCTTGGCGGGAAAGAGCAGCGGCTTCGGCGAGTGCTCCCGCTCCCGCTCCTCCGACTCGTTGCCGTCCATCGGCTCCAGCTTGCCGAACAGGGAGCCACCGCCCACAGTCCCGTTCGAGAGCATCGGGGGCGCGGCCACCGAACTGGGGCTGCCCAGGCTGCCTCCCCCGCCGACAAAGCTGCCCGCCCGCGAGCTCTCCCCGTCGCCGTCCATGCCACAGTGGATCGAGGAGTTCTGCTGGGAGGAGCCACCGCATCCGGTGCCCCCCGCCCACCGCTAGCCGGACGGGACTCACGGCGTCGCTGTCGCCCTCGTCGTCACTGTCCGTGCCGCCGACCACGTCGATCTGGATGCCGTCGTCCTCGAGGTCCGAGTCGGAGAAGGTGCCGTTCGCCTTGTGCTGGGATATGTACTCGGCCTTCAGGGCCTCCAGGTCCACAGTGATGCCCTTGGCCTGCAGCTTCCGGGCCTGTCGGTCGATGGCCTTGGCCAGCTTCTTCCGGCGACGGGCTCTGCGGGCGGAGGGTGGAGAGAGAGGGGTGGGAATGGGTTAGTTTAATGAGGTATCAATTTGGGCTGCCCTAAATCAAGATTGCTAAGAAAGTTTAAGGTATTTTTTAAAGTTAACGACTATGCTATAAAGCTGCCATAGAAAGTATCTAAATATCTATATAAAATAATAGGAAAGGACGCTAGCTAGCTAGCCTTACCAATAACGTCAGCAATAAGATGTGCTGCGATTTATTCTTTAAAAATGTCGAATTTTCTAATTTATAATAATTATTATTTCAGTACTAAATATATTTTTCTTCACTTTTCCTAAGTCTGCTATACATTCATTATATTACGTCGTATTCCAAAAGTCATTCTGGTGTGATAAAATACTACGATTTAATATAGTCGTTCGACTCGGCCGTATCGGTATATTACCCTGAAATAACATAAACTGAAAGACTAGTTTGCATAGAAACAGTCAAACGTGGATTTCTAGTTCACAGATACGTTGAAAACTTCTGACTGCAATTATAAATGATATGTAACTGTATAAAAATCGTCATAACTTATAAAAATAAAAAAAATTTGTTATTTCGGTACAGATCGCACTCCTATACCATATACCAGATTTGTCTAGTAGTTTTGTTCACTTCGCTTCTAACCAAAAGAGTATAAAAGCTTCGGCTTGCCAAAGATAAATTTATTTTCTCTTTTAAATAACCAATATGTCAATCCACCGATCAGAACCAAAGCAACTATCTTATTAATTGAGTTAGGTGTATGGGCAGAACAAGTACAAATGCAAAAAATTTATTTTTATATATTTTTGGGTAAAATATTGACATTGGTTGGAGGACTCTTACCGTTCTTTGGCCTTAAGCTCGTTGGGCGGAATCGGCTCGCCGCTGCAGGTTTGCGGCTGGGCGTTGTGGGCGGGGCGGCCGGGTCCCTTCTTCGTGTGCTCCCGCTTACGGACTTTGGCTCTTCGATTCTGGAACCATACCTATCTGGAACAAAGTGTATAATCTCAGCAAAGGTGCTCGCCAAACGAGTCATGGACTTAAGATGTAACTGCAAAGGTATATAAGCTTCCGTTCTTGTTTTGTAATTGAATTTACAATTAAAACTCAACTTTTACTCGGGGATTTTCCCGATTCGGCCTCTAACTAAACTGCAACAGAAAATCTGTACTTATTTGGCTACCAAGGCTTGACCGAATTCAACATAATGGACTTTAACTCCTAGTCTGGTGTTCTATCTTATTAAAAGACGTTATGCGATCCAAAGCAGTTGCAAGAAATCCAGTTTAATCTATGTGCAGGCTGCCCCTCCGCACCGAGCGGAACTAGACTCACCGCAACTCGCGACTCCTTGAGGTCCAGACGCATGGCCAGAGCCTCCCGCATGAAAATGTCCGGGTAATGGCTGGCGGAGAAGGCCCTTTCCAGCTCCTCCAGCTGCCAGGAGTTGAAGTTGGTACGAGATCGCCGGCGCTTCGCCGCACTGCTGTCGTCGTCGCCGTCGCCGGGAAAACCTGCAAGCAACGGCGAACGAAAAGTGGGAAATTTAAATAAATTTATACAAACAGAACAAAGTAATTAATGCTGGTGGTTTATTAGAACTAATTAGGGTAGTGCCGAAGTCCAAAAACCACGAGCACACATGGGACCCGAAACTAGACAAAAAAAAAAAAAACAAAAAAAGGAAAAACTAAGGAAAACATATAGCACAGGAACATGGGCGCAAAACACTTTGTTCCCTACACTAAAAACCCTATAATTAAGTGTTGGAGAATTATTTAAATTAACCGAGATACAGGGGCAAACACAGAATGCATAAATATTCATAATCATATATTTCAATTACACAGCCAAGGGGGCTACCAACGAGCAAACGAGTGTCCCCCTTTTGTATGTGGTATAACTCACAACTCCTCCCTTTCGAATTTCCAGCCGGCGGCCCTCAATAAAAACGAAACAATTTAATTCTGTTTCTAGCCGCCCCGCTCCTTCCGACCCATAAGGTTGCTAACTGCTCCGGCCCTTCGATCCTTCGCAGGATGCATAGTTTTCTATATTTATACAGCAGAAGGGGCGTGGCCGGCTCTCACATTCGCGGAGAATGCATGCAAGAGGTCCGCAATTTATCAAATTAACTCAGATCTGGCCGAAGGAGAACCGGCGGAGAAGATTAAAAGACGGGTAAAAACGCGGAAGGGAAAGCAAGCAAAGGTGTTTGGGTATTAGATTATAGCCGAACGGAAACACAGCGAAGGCCAGTTAGAGAGTGACGATTAAAACAGGTACATATTATATATTATTAGCAAATGTGTTGTCTTCTATGGGAAAATGATCACAACCTTGGAACAAGAACCTATCCTAAAATGGGTAACCAGCCAAAAGCTTGCTAATACGAATTCATTTAACTAAATAAGTTGGTTAGTCGCAATAACCATCTAAGAAAAGGAGTTACAAACGAAACTAGGAATACTTTTATTTACTGAAATAAAATACCCAAATATGGGTATTATTTTTAAACAGTTCTCTTAAACATTTTTTTTCTTAACTGTGTCTAAATTTATGTTCAGAACATAAATACGTATTGAGTATATTTCACCCACTCTGGTCAGTCGATATTGTCGGTACTTCTGCATCGACTACTAAAACTATACATTTGGCTTTCATTCGGGGAAAATTAATGCATACAATTCAGGCAATTAGTGGCTCTATTTTGTATCGCCAAGTGATGGACGTACCATTTAAAGCGCCGCCACTCATCTGACTTTGTAATCGCACTAATTTCGGTTTTTAGACGGACACTACCCCCTCCTTACCCTTACCCTTACCCATACCATTACCATTACGCTCGCACCTCCCCTCTCCCGCCCCTTTGGCGGCCTTGCCACAATTTGCGGCCTACCAACATACGGACACCACACCGCGCACCCGACATTAAAGCGCAATAACAAGAGGACGCCCTTAATGAATAGCTTGCATTCTGCTGCAAAGTGTACCTAATTATGCGTGCCGCACTGTTACACTTTGGTCACTCGCTCCCCGTCTCTTTCGCAGCTCGGAAACACGTTTGGTTTGGTTTGGTTCAAGCCTTCGGTGTGCGAAAGAGAGGTTAATAACTCAATAACAACTCAGAATACACGGCGCAATGATAGAGACATTAGAGGCAAGCGACAAACAGCAGACAGCAGACAAGGACCGCAAAGGGGAGCGAGCAAGACGGCCTGCGCAAAGTGCATTCAAATGACTTAATAATAACGGGTCGAGCCCCTGGAAGGGCGGCGGGGGCTCGCCGCAGAGGGGAGGGAGCGCTTTTTCAGTGCCCGACGACTGGAACATGATTCATGCTCTTGGCCCTTTCGACGGGTGTGGGAGCAAATACAAACGGTAATTGAAATTTATTATGATTATTGCACGCCCGCCGTCTACATATGCAATGTGCAGCTTGCAATGTGCATCGTGCAGCCCCCGATTTGCGAGTCTGCAATTTGGCAACTTGGTATTGATTCTCAAAAATCCCCTAAGAGCGGTAACACCGAGAAAGGGAGACGGGCTTAAATTTCCACTAAGTATAGTTCGGAATATCACATTTCTCTAGGTATTACACATTGTTTAAAAATCGTTAAAAAATCAATTATGTTGGGTTCAACGTTAAATAACGCAATTAAGAAGTCAAATAGAGTAATTGTCGAGTTTAAAAATATACCTAGAAAATATTTCTGCCGATATATTCTAATCAAATTCCTTGCAAGAACGCATCGATTCTCTTTATGGCAGAGGGTATTATAATTTCAGGAGGCACCTCAGACCCCAAAAAGTATATATAATGTTGATAATCATGACGATCAAAATCGAAATACGTCTGTCCGCCTGTCCGTCTGTCTGTTTCTCAGTTTTAAAGCCATCTTGATCAAACTTTCCCAAAAGTTGTGTAGTTATTGCACGCAGTATATAAGTCGGAACGGACCGGATCGGCCGACTATATCAGGTAGCTCCCATACAAGAGAATGAAATAAAAAATTCTCACGTCGTTGTTTTTGATCAGATCGACTTGATTTCATTAAAATCCGACAACGTTATAATATAGCTGCCATATGAAAGATAGAAAAATGTATATAGAAATAACGGAAATAAAATTATAACATCGTTGTTTTTCATCAGACGAGCACCACTTTAGGAATATAGAGTTTTCTAACGACTCTTTAATTAAGAATTCAATTTTATCAAAATCGGAGAACTAACTATATCAAAATGTAGACCATTAATATAAAAATCTTCATAGCTTCGATGTTGTGTAGCCTTTATGTATTTTGTTCAACATCTTTGATGTTTACAAGGGTATATCAGCTTTCTTTTTTGTTTTTAATTAGAATTACTTTTGAATTTCATATAGCTGCCATTGGAAAGATCGAAAAATGTGTGTATGAAAAATGGCAAAAAAAATTATTACGTCATTGTTTTTATTCCCGCTAGCATGATTTTTAAAATATTGGTTTTTTTAATAACCCTTGAATCGTGAAAATAATTTCATAAAAATCGGACAACCATATCATATAGCAGGCACAAAAAAGATCGATAAATCTATATAAAATTCATTAGACGAGCATAATTTGAAATATAGAGCTTTTTACCGACTTTCGAATTTTAAATTAATTTTCATTAAAATCGGACGACTACCTATATTATATAGCTGTCATAAGAACCATCGGCGAAAGTATAGAAACTAAATAAAAGTATCTACATAGCTTTGATGTTGTTCAGCCTTTATGTATTTTATTCGGCATGTTTGAAGATTGCAAGTGTCGAAGCTAGCTTTCTTTCTTGTTATTTATTTCATACCATTGATTTGGTTTAAGTTCAGCTAAAATACGAGTATATCAATAAATGTGTTTACATATACAAATCAATGTTTTGTTATTAAAGATATTTTCTTTGGGGAGGGGCCAGAATGGAAACACGTCAAAAAGAGGCAAGGAACGGAGGCGGCGAAATCGGAAGGATCGCCTATTGAGTGTGTGCTGTTGCATGCCTCAGTCACATTCCGTGGCATGCTATTTTCGTTTACAGCGCGCGTCAGCCAGGCAATATAACTGTTACGCATACACCACATTCATATATACACCACATTCATATACACACACCACTCGCCAATCACCACACCCCAACCTCTCGCCGTTTACCCAGCTGCCTCGCCCCCCACTTTCGCCTCACCAGCCCTCGATCCTTTCGGGTAAGCCACTTAAGCCATAAAAATTAAATCGAAAAAATAAAAAAAAAGTTAAGACAAGAACGGCCAGGAAAAAAATAGGTGAAGAAGGGAACCACATAAAAGTTTTCGAAAAAATGTTCAAGGCAGGGGTGCAGTATTCAGAGGGGGTGCGATAGGTAGTTATTAGAATAAAATAATTCCGAGCTTATTTCCTTTTTGAGCCTTCTGATTAGAAGGTACAATAGATGAAAGGTCTACAGTACGTTAAAAACATGTCCTTGTTATTAACTAAGTTGTTTCAGAACTCACTTTATACAAGCATTGGACATAAAATAAATTGGACATAAAAATAAAAAAAATTCATAGCTATGAACCCATAAATTGTTTTAGGTTGCGAAACAATAAATTTAATTTTGAAAGGGCTAATACTGCCTTAACTTCTTTAAGGTATTCGTCTGCATATTATATTCTCATGTAGGGGGCTTTTCCCAATAGTTTTTTTTATTTTACATTTATTTTACTATAACGTATTCCCTAATGTCGAGCAAAATACCGAAATTCAGCAGAAGTAACAAAACAATGGCGATAACATTTTATTCCTGTTTTTTTCGATTTATTCTATAGATGCTATACGACATCCAACTTTGGAAAAGATTAGTTCAGTGAGGCCAGTGGGACTGGTTTACACAGAAAGGGGCAGACGGACAGTCGTGCACGCCTAGCAGATGGTGACACTGAAGAGTATACATACTTCAAGGAGTCCAAGTGTCTCCCTCACTGCAAAGGTATACAAATTCTGTTTCATTAAATCTGTGGCCGCCACAGAATTTAGAGGTTGTGGGCGGACGACTTTTCTTAAACTTATTTCGCTGCGCGTTCTCTACAAGAGTCTGTATGCTTAATTCCAATATTGTAGCTCTAGTTTTCCATATGTCGACGGGTAAACCGAAAAGCGGACACGCCTCCAAAACTGATAGACGTAAAAGTGGGCGAGGTAAATTTAAAAAAACTAACTAAGGACGAGAATCCAAATCACTTAGCAAAAATGTTGTACCATCAAAACTGTGGGATCCACAGATTTTTGCGGTTTGTGGGCGCAATAGTGGGATTGGAAAAATAATTACTCTACGACTAACTGGAATACGAAACCGAAAACATAACTTCGATTTTTAAAATTTTAGAAAGTCGAGGCTTATCGAAAAGACCGAAACCTATTTCAAATAAGAAAAAAAGCTAGCTTTGGCGAGCCGAAGTTTATATACTCTTGGAGTCATCAAATATGTATGTCGAACAAAATACAATAAGGCTACA